CCGGGGCCCTGCCTCCGCGGGGTTTCTGCGCCCCGGGTCCGGGAGGATGTGCCCTCTGGCGCCCGGGCAGCGCGCAGCGGCGCTCCCGGAGCCGCGGCGTGGGCCGTGGCAGAGCTGGGTGCCCGCTCCCCTCGCAGCGGCTCCGTGTCTCAAACCCCAACCGGCTGTTGACAGGCTCCTTGTGAAATGGAGTTTGGCATCCTCGGCGCCGAACCGAGTGGAAGTTTCCATGATGAGGAAGTTCTGTGACACGGGAATTCGGAAAAGGTTGGCAGACACGGGGGTGGTGGGGTGCGGTTTAAAGGGACTGTGGGTCCCCCCTCCCCCCTTTTGCTCCTGCCCGGGAACTGCCGGGTTTGGAAAGGAGAAGAATCCTGAATATTGGCGTGCGCTGTCACCGGTGCCTGGCTACTTGGCGTCTCCCGCCTCCTCTGCGGGTCCGCGGCGATCTCGCCAGGCTCCCGAGTCGCACTTCTTTGCCTCGCTTCTCTTGACGCAGCATCTCTGTCTGAGTGGCCCGAAGTGGGTTCTGATACCAGGAGTTGTGCCAGCTGTGTGACCCCCCTCTGCCCCCCCCCCCAGAAGGACTCATTTGGGGGGAGTATTTTTTACTCCTCGTGGATTTTGTCCTTAGCTGCTGTGGTCACTTTGGAAAAGGATTTCCCAATGACCATTGGAGGGTTATTATTAGTGCTAAGTCTTAAGCCTCTGATTTGTTGGGGAGAGGGAGCATGGGGTGAGTTTTTAGTTGTTAATTTTAAATGTCTAATTTTCCCCAAGTGGGAAACCGTCAAGGGTCTAGAGCATAACAATTTGTAAAGTGAGTCAAAGGAAAGAATTTATCTGCACAGATAAGTTCAGATTCTTCATTCTCCCCCCTCTCCGCACAGAGTTAGGATTCATGAAGATTCAAACAGGACCCCCTAATCAGTAAACAGACAGACATTGAAATAGTCTACCTCTTAGCAGGTTACTGGTCTCAGGTGCTAGTGAGATTGTTTTAAAGACCTGTTTTGAAGTTCAAACACCTAAAGCACAGCAGGAACAGGTGTATTGGGTAATGTAGACCTTGGGCAATATCTTTACATTACTTTGCCTTCTATTACTCGAGTATCCTTATTTATATTGTAAAAATATATAGCATGCATTGGATTACAAAGTAAAACTTGCCTTTTAGTCAAAATATTCCATGATTCATTCTGACTATTCACCGTGACTGCTCCCTCATTCACTTGTTTACCTCTCTTATTCTGAAACAAGTCAGGGGCTAGGAAACATTTTTCTCTTAAAAAACGGTGTTTTGATGAAAAGTATTTTTGAGTAATGGATGTTTTTAGTTTTGGCTAAGTGTTTTAATTGACTCTAACAGAAATTCAATACTAAGTGATTTATTTGGGGTATTATACGGGAAGGCATTGGTGAACAACCATTTATTATTTGTGATTGTTAAATAGATACTATCCGAATTCTATTTTCAGGAATTTCAAAGTTTTGTTATATATTAGAAGGAGGCCCATCTGCTAGTAAATATGATTTGCTTCACTTTTCCAGCAAGTGGAAGTAAATGGTATTGAATATAGCCACAGCACTATGTTTTATGAAGCAATTCCTGTTGGCATTACAATTCAAAGGCATAATTTTATTGACATTGAAATATTTGTTTTATAAAATAACTGACTTTCCAAGAGTAATAAATGTTCCATTTCTCCCCTAGAAATTCTTTGTAGTAAATTCTGCTATTAAAATAAATTTTAATCTACATCTTTGAGAAAAGGTTATTTCTTAAAGTTTCCTTAAGAAAGTTGTGGATTCCTTTCCTTTTCTGTTTCTTTGTTTTGTTCTGTGTATTTGGGTGGGGGGGGGGTGCAATTATTTGAAGCACAGGTGTGTGGAGCCACACATGAGATTGCACATTTCTTTTTTAGTAAGCTCATCTTTGTGATGGAAATCAGAGTAAAGGTGGTTGGTTTGTTTAGCTCCTTTTTGTCATTCTAGTGTAAGATTATGTGTCACCTTCTTAAAAAGCCTTTCCCTGACCACTTGAGTAAAGGCCATCCCTCATTCCTTCCGAGACACTGTTTTTTGTCCCCTCCCCTCCCCCCATCCTTGGTTTTATTTGCAATCTGAACTGTTCATTTCAATTGGTTCTTTTTATTGATTACCTATGTCTAGAATATGAGTCCATGAGAAAAAGTATCTTGACTGCCTCATTCACTCTTGATCCTCCAACATCTTGAACCGTGCTTGGCACACAGTAGGTGCTGAGTAAATCTTTGTTGAATAAAGGAATAGTTGCACCCAAACATTGTGTTCACCAAAACACCTGACTAAGCATCCTAAATGGGTACCAATTGGGTCGGCCAAGATCTGTGCCTGTATATGTGTGTGCCATGTATATATGGGTCAATCTTTGTTTATCTCTCTCTTTTAAGATGAAAGCTAGCCCCATTTAGGTTAGTGATGATACAGTTTTATTTCTGAGAGTTTTTCTTGGGGGCATTTGCCTTGAGTACATGGAATTCCTCAGCAACAGTTTGCCTTACCTAGATCCCTGAAGACTTTGACCTTCAACATGCTGGGTTGCAGCAGAATTTTTATGCATTCCAGCGGTATTGTCAGTGCTAAGAGTGAAATTCCAGGAAATAGACATCACTGGGTGATAGCTATGCCTTCTCACTCAGCAGGTTCTAGCAGTATCTCTAGCTGATCTACAAAAGTGGTGGCTGGGGAAAGGGCAGATGAAACTGTCAGGATCCCACACGAGACAGAAATAGCCCGTGGAAGTAGATTGGAATGGACCTGGTGGTTACTCTGTACCCTCTCCCTTTGCCCCCTTTGCCCACTTCCATAAGCAGATTTTGAACCAGGTGATTATAGGAAATATTGCATTATCTGAGTTTGCAGGTTGACTGAGCTGTGGTACCCAAGGGGTTATCTTCAAATTAGCTAGTCGTGGGAACTTTTTTGACAATTGAGATTAAAAGGAAGTTACAATAAATGATTATGGAAATTTGTTTTTCTTGATAGAGTATCAACTCTCAGAAACGTGTCTGAGTAAATGTAAAAGGTCTACAAAATGATGAAACTGGTAAAAAATGGTAGGGGACAAAAGATAAACTGAGATCTTAAGTGCTTATTGCTTTTGAGTATTTAATTTAGCCCTGAGCTTCTCAGTAGCCAAGTTCAGAGAGAGAGAAAAAAAAGAGAACTGGAGTACGCATTAAAGTTATAAGGATATCTCAGATAACATGGGCAGAGTGCTTCTATAGTGCCTGACTACTAGTATATACTCCTATGAAATATCAAATCATATAATGGCCAATACTTGAACTTCAGTTCTCCAGAAAATGAAGTAAAGATTGTATATGATCACGTTTTGCACCAACCCTAGAGAGAAAAGACATGCAGAAAGCAGAATGATGTAAAGTAACCCAGTGGGAGTTTATCTTTGGAGATAAGCTAAGCCATGGTCCAGCAGTGGAGATCCTGAAGATTGTCCCCAAGGCAGAAATAGAGCTCAGAAAACCTAGAGGAATGAATGGTTGACATGTTCTTTAGGCTGACTTTCTCAAATATCCAGTGTCACGGCCAAGCTTTTCACTAAAGCAATCTGAGA